TGTGTGTGTGTGTGTGTGTGTGTGTGTGTGTGTGTGCATGTGTTCATTATCAGGATCTGGTGGATTGTGAGCTTTTTTCTCACAACTGTCTGTGCGTCCTCAGCCGTTGTTCGGTTCGTAGAGAGGTCGCCATCTCACAGCGACTTGTTTGTTGATGACATTGTGTCATTCATCACCTGGCCAATTTCGTTTTTCCTGTTCTTTGCGGCTACTCTGGGCCGCACAGGGATCCGGATTGAGGAGCCACCCATCAGCTGCTACACGGAACCGTTGCTAGAAGGTAAGGATAGCAAGGGTGAATGAACTGAGAAGGGAGGAAACTGTTTCTTTTTTTTTTTTTTTTAACAAAAACAGGTCCTTATGGTCCTGGCTCCATTTCCATTCTGGGGAGCATCAGTCAGGTTCCTTTTTTTTTTTTTTGTTGAAAAACAGAACCTTATGGCTCTGGCTCCCACCATTCTGGGGAGCAACAGTCCGGTTCCTATTCCCCCGGCAAGTCAAAATGGAAAACATAAAAGATACACACACACTCCTCCCCATTACGGATGGGAGGCCCGAGAAGGCGGCATTGATTACTTCCATGAGGAAGGATATACCACCCCTCTCCCCTGCCTAAGTTATCCCTACACTATTAAAATCGCTAACGTGACAAATCTGAAATCCGGGCCGTCGTCGGTCCTGCCGGCCCACGGCCCAGATCGACCGAACCATGTAACAAATCTGCCATCTGGGCCGTCGGGTCCCACCGGACTGACGGCCTGGATAGATGCGGTCTTAAGATCTTAGGACCGCGCCGAGATCCGTGCCGTCGGTCCGGACCGACGGCTCAGATAGACGCTCCGTGGAGTGCCGTGGGGTACTACTGGGAGTCAAGTGGCGTGGGCTCAGATAAACGCGCCGCAAAGCGCCGTGGAACTACTTTTTGGTGGCGGCGCGCACGGTTTTGTGGTGGCACGGGCAAATTCCACAGTGTGGGAAAGATCGACCCCTACGCTACTCTACGCTTGACTTTGGCGTTGTGGCGGCACGGGCAAATCCCACGGCGTGGGAAAGATCTACCCCTACGCTACTCTTTGACCCCTACGGTACTCTTTGACCCCTACGCTACTCTTTGACCCCTACGCTACTCTACGCTCGACTTCGACCTTACTACACTCTGCACTGCTGCGGTCGACTTCGACTTTACTGCTCGACCTTACACTACCACGCTCAACTGCCATTTCACATGTGTCTGGCACACACACACACACACACACACACACACACACACACACACGAGACATGGTGAACCCTTATCCATCAGCCAAATTCATCCCGGGCAGTCTGGCTTAATTGTGTTTTTTTTATGGGGTTGTGTATAGCGAACATAACGACACACACACATACACAAACACACCACAGAGAGAGAGAGAGAGAGAGAGAGAGAGA